TGTGTGTGTGTGTGCGCGCGCGCGCGTGCGCGTGCGCACGCAAGCACGCACTCAATTGGAGCTACCCTATATAGGATTACATTTATCTCAGAAGCCATAGGTTGCTAAATGAAAAGCCCAGGGTCAAATGGTGGAATACCTCCAGAGGTTTCCCAGAAACCCACAAAGCTATAAAGGCTATTGTTATTGTTCTTGGTTTTCCACCAGAATCTGATAGTAAGAACTTACTGCTGAAGATATTATACACATAGATCACAGGACATGGAAAAGGCAAGTTGGTATTGATGAAAATCTTCCTCCCTGTTGACTAACTTTCAGAGTACTAGAAGGAACTATTCAGGCTCTAGGGGAAAACAGTTTCAAACCCTGTAAAACACAGTAATGACTGGGGTAGCAAGATATATGATAGTGCCGTGAATTACGCAGTAATTCACCACTTTCTGGTTGGGAAGGCCCACTCTACAAGAGGAAACATGCCTATACTGCAACTCTGGCCAAGAACACAAAATTGGAGAGCTAACAGGCCCAGGTGTAAACCTAACTATTATAACTTACTTGATAACATAGTATCAATTTGTCCTCTAAATTTTAATCTTTCTACCCACTAATTAGTGCTGCTCTCAGACTTCTTTGTGCAGCAGATGGCAGTTAATGCAAGAACTCACAACTGGTTAAAGTTCAGAGGGTAAGTAACTATGGAGTACTCAGCCACAAATGGAGCATCTATATCAACTTTCCCGCAAGCTCAGCAATTATCATAGAAGACGAGGCATAAGGACTGTAAGAAATGGAGGTCCAAGAGGATGGGAGCAAACAGTATCTTGGGAACATGACAGGACTGCTTCAAGCATAAACACACAGTGGCTATGGTTGCCTACACAAGATATAAATCAGATCAAATCAGTCAACACTCTAACATGAATAAATAAAAAGAAAAAAGAAGCGTAAAAATTCCTAGTAAAAATAAGATAGTCCCAGAGTAGACATTATTGAAACAGAAACAACAACAAACAATGTAAAGATTCAATTAAATGAAAAACTGGTTCTTTAAACTGATTAACTAGATTGACAAACCTTTAGCCAAATTAACTAAGAGAAGGGATCCAAATTAATAAAATGAGAGAACAAGGAGATAGAGCGATAGACACTGATGAAATACAGTCATTAGGATATGCTTCAAACACCGATATTTCACCATACTGGAAAACCTAAAAGAAATGATCAATGTCTTAATCCATATGATTAAATCATTTGAAAAAGAATGTCCCCCACAGGCCCTGATATTTGAACACTTGGTCCCTGGTTGTTAACACTATCTGGGGAAACTTAGGAGGTTCAGCCTTGCTGGAAGGACTACATTACTGGATGCAAAAATGAGATTAAAAGCTGGATCAGATCTGAAAACTTCCTCTGTGATATCTGGTTTTCATAGTGCCACTGAGGTGTAAAAGCATCAGTGGTATTATTTAGTAGCACACCTAGCATGCTATAATACCAACCTGACAAATGAGATATGTACACTGGAGCAATAATAACACAAAAGTTATAATGATAAACCAACTATTTTGGGACTAGATATAAGACCTGCTCAACAGGAGGAAATTCAGTTTGGGTCATAGCCCTAGGAAGGCATCTTCTACTATTGTCTTGCTAAATGGATATTCTGTCAAACTGCCTTCTTAATATTTGTTTAGACACATAGATTCATGTTGCACTCAACCTTAGTCAGAGAAGCTTCTCTCTGAAATCATCAGTAGTAATTGCAGAGAATTAGCATTGGTCAATGAGAATGAGTGACAACTGATTACTGAGCCCTAAAAAGAATAACTATATCACCCCTTACTGCAAGCTCAGAAAACATGGCAGAAAGAATGTAAAAGCTAGAGGATTAAAAAGAGTACTGGGGGATGCCATCATCTGAACATAGCACAACCATTTTATTCATGAACTAACGCAAGTTCCAGTAACCTACACAAGAACTTTACCAGATCATGCCAACATGATAAGCCAACATTCTACCATGCAGCACTGACAGGTCTCAGTGGGTTTCAGAAAAGAAGAAATAAAAGGGGAAAAGAAAGGACATGAAGAGGGAAGAGAGAAGGGCTAAGGGTGCCTGGTAAAAGAGGAAGGAGGAATTGGAAGAAAATAGGACCAAGATTTCAGGTGCCTGGTAAAAGAGGAAGGAGGAATTGGAAGAAAATAGGACCAAGATAAAGTGTTTACATGTGTGAAATTGTCATGAGTAAATTTTAAAGATTCTATTAAAACTAATAATTAAATTTAATTATATTTTTGTTAAGTCACAGAACATCACAAACTAAATGTATTACCATATCCTTCAGATGTATGAGTGATTAATAGCTGTAATAATAACCAGTATATTTCTTATATATCTATTCAAACAGTAATTGTTAGGGTTGACACCAATTAATCAGTTATAGTTTCTCTCTTCAAACACAGAACTATCACTTTAAAACAACAACACTAGGTATTCAAGAAGAAACCAATAGGAAGTAACTATATGAATCACGTACACAGTACCAAAGATGCAAGGAACTAACTATACAAAGGAAAAGAGTTAGCACAACAAATATATCAGATAACTTTAGCATAGCTCATTCAAATTCTCACTATGCCTGTATTCCTCTAAAATACAGGCTACAAAACTAAAATACTGTTTTTAGCATTCTGAAGGTATTCCATGAAATGGCTCTGTGTCACATAGGCAAATCTCTATGAGCAAGCATGATCTAAAATAAGACTTCAAATCAAGTATTCCCTTTGTTATTCATACTGCTTGGAAGTTAACACAGTTTCCAGTGGTGGAAGTAACAAGGGAAAAAAAAGGAAAATTCACCACAAGGACTGCACAACGAGAAAAAAAAAAAATGCTTACCTCCATTATTGATTATAACAGTTGCTTATGAACTAAAAGCCTTGGGGCTTCCAACGATATGAGACAAATAAAAACCTCACTCAAGCATTTAATATGTTGTTAAGATTTGTTTTCTATAGGATGGCATATAAGAAAACAAATCTTAACAACAAATTAAATGTTTGCTGATGGAAGAAGAAGCAGACACCCACAACTAATCACTGAACTGAACTGGAATCCAGTTGCAAAGAATGAGTAATGGGCAAAGGGGTCCAGACCAGGCTAGTGAAACCCAAAGAAACAGCTGACCTGAACATCCGGGAGCTCTTGATCCCCAAACTGACAGCTGGGATACCAGCATGGGACTGATCCAGACCCCAGGAACATGAGTTTCAGTGAGGAGACCTAGGAAATCTACAGGACCTCCTGTCGTAGTTCAGTACCTATCCCTAGCATAGGTGTGGACTTTGGGAGCCCAATCCACATACAGGGATACTCCCTGAGCCAAGACACACAGGGGTGGGCCTAGGCCCTATCCCAAAGGATATGACAGATTCTGATGACCCCCCTATGGTAGGCCTCACCCTCCCTGGGGAGCAGAAAGGATATGTGATAGGTAGGGTTTTAGTTGGGGGTTGGTGGTAGGGGAGGAAGGGAGGGAGTTGGAACTGGGATTGACATGTAAAACAATCTTGTTTCTAATTCAAATAAAAAAGGAAATATAAAAAGAGAAAAGTGTCTGTGAAAATAAATTTTTATTTTTAATAGAAATTCTAAGATTTTCTTCAAGAAAGAAACTATAATTTATTATTTTGTAACTTAAGAGTAGCTATTACTGTATTAAGAGACCACAATACTTCTGGAAAGAGAATAAATTTATAAGAAGAGATAAAACAGACTCCCTTGCAACTTTGTGTGTCTTGGCAACATGAAAAAGAACAGACTTCTTCATGTAAATTACAGTTTTATCATTTATTGCATCACGAGTTTTGCACAAATTGTATGACATCACTCAGTTTCTGCCTCCTACTTAGTAGTTATAGCTACATTTAAGGACTGATGAGGGTAATAAGTATGTGGAGGTTGGGCTCCACCAAGTCCACCAAATCTTCCTGTGCTGGGCCTAGGTCCCTCCCCATGTGTTCAGAGACAGAGT